TTATAAGGCCATTAATGATGGGTAGAGAACGCGATGTAAAGTACGAGAATAGAATTATGTTTGCAGGTGCGCGTGTGGGTCAAATTTAGTTTTTCTCGTGAGAGGGAACAAGTCCGGCAATCGAGCATTTTTACTTGCTACCATACTACAAAGAGACCATGATCATCATCGTCTTCTGATGATACTAAGTGTCGCCAACCAACATGGATTTCGTTCACTACTGTTTGTTGACATTCAAATTTCTAAAAAAGGTAGAATGTCGAAATCTATTTAGAACATCCTTGTCAAAATAATATTTACAATAACTGCAAAAATTTCTGTGTTCTCATTGGCTAATTTCCAATGACATTACGCAGACAGACACATGACTTTGTAATTTATGTTGACGCCAAGAGCGGGAGCGGACAATTTGAAAATTTGTTACTGTAAAGAAACAAAATGGCCTCAGTTTTTCATACGTCTGTCCTGTTATTGGAAATGAATTCCGTCATAACATTGTCAAAGTAGTCTGCGGATCCACCCGGCTATCGCTTCGAAGAACCACAAATACTTCGACAATGTTTTAATGAAATTTATGATCAATAACAGGACAGATTCCTGAAAAAATGATGTCAATTTGTTACATAGCACTTCGTCTTCCTCATACCCCCTCCACAAGAAAGATTTTGACGCTACATACCTCCTGCTGCTAAATTACAAATTTGCGGCACTTTACTACATTTAATGTCCAGAGGTGCTCTGGATACAATGTGTCCGTCGTTTTTTATTACGGACTGCAGTGTTGATGAAAAGATGTCTACACCTATTAGCCAAGAAATGTGCCAAAAGTTTAGCAATGATATAAAACTATTACTTGACGAGCTTACTTATACTAACTTGGCATATATAGTGATGTTTAATTTCCGTTCAATCTTTACGAGCGGCTTCAAAAGTTCATTATTACCTGCACTTTACAGTTCCGTACTCAGTGATGAGGCTTGGCTAGAGTTGACTTTGTTCTGACACAAACCTTGCTACTTTTCAAATGTTATCCTGATCTTTATCGACATAAGCTAAACCCTCGATAAACCCAGTTCTTGCTTTCAAGAAGAGGTTCGGCTACATTTCACCGAACTTAAAAATGGTGATTCTTATGTAAACGGACTGATAGTATGACAAGGGCAGCAAAAATTTGCGATTGGAGATCACTTTGTGCTTTGAACGCAATCTGAGAGGAAAGTAAGCGAGAAAGACTTTTCTTCTCACACTGATAGACTCCTCGCACGAACTCCCCTCAACTCGTCTACGTTGAGGACAATTTTTGACAAAAGATTAAGGATTACGGGACCTTATAGATATATTGGTAGTACATTTCGTATCTCTATTTCAAGACAACCGAGGAAATGTTTCAGAGTTCAGAGTCAAAGATCCCGTTGGTGAAGTACGATATATATAAAAATATATTTTTAAAGAAAACAGTATTAATCAATTGTAATTCTGGGTAATAAAGCAAGGGTTCTTTCCGGTATTGGGAAGTTACGTTTTTTGACTTTCTCAAGAACCATGTCAAACTTACCAGGTGTGAAAGAGACCGTGATATTTACTGGTTGACCGGGCTTCAGCACGGGCCATGGCGTAATTTTGTATTTGAGGGTTTTGTTTGGCGGTCCTGTAAAAGTATAACAAGATTATCCTGTTAACTAAACAGGGAGTAAATTAGCGGGTACGTGTTAAACAACCGCGGATAACTACAAAAAGATATTGAGTTTTTCACGGCTCGGCACATGTGCTAGCTACAGCTTCATTGTTTATAAAACAATCAGAAGCGTAACGATGACTTGCGGGGAAATTTGCCTTTATTTTGTGAATTTTGCGGTCAGTCACGAACAAATAACGTGAAGGAGAGATTTCTCATTTGCAGCCCTTTCGTATGTTCCAACCCCATGCACAAAGTACATTTTCGTTTTGATATCTACCTCATGCGTTTCAGTAATCACAGAGTGTACTTTTGTAAGAGCAGAAGTAATAGCCTTCGAGCAGCCGTACGGCCGTACTAAAGGTAGAAGAATGACGAATGCTCAATTTCATGGATGATGTACAAATTGATTATCTGGCCCGACGGTTTTATTCAGGACCAGCCGGTCACACGAGTTATGTACTCGCATCTGATTGTCTTCCAAGCAATGGAACTGGGTGAGATACATCATAGCTTGTACGTGCGCCGAATTGTAAAATTATCCCTTTCAGTGATTTTGGGGCAAAAATGAATTTTTTCCTAGGGTTGATCATTATTCGGACTTCAGCGTATCTTTAAAAAGGCTTTGTCATGTGTTTTTAGTGTGCCTGAGGTCAGGTATCAACAGTCGGGTACTCTTTGCATTTAAGTTTTGAATTATTTAATTTTTAATTTCTTAATTAATTTATTTTTTAACTTAATTTTGTTTATTTTGACAACCGTGTCTGATTATAACTGACCAGGACTATAACTGATTCTCACCGCAATATTTCAGATGTTTGAGTTCAAATCCAACGGACAGCATACCACAGACTAAGAGGTAGATGAAAATCAGGTGCTGAGTGTTGGATGCCATTCTTCAAAGAAGATAAGGATGCCTAACAACAAGACACAATCGTGATCAGCACAAGGGGACACCTATTTCAACATCTACTTCAAAATGTTTCAACATTATCCGAAAGTGGGGCCTTTCTTTACTTTGACAAACACAAAAATACAATTTGACGTAATCGATTGTCTATGGAAAATAAAACAAACTCCTTGCATGGTTTTTATGCGTAGCAAAGAGTTGTGATTGGATTGCCACTGTCAAAGTTGATCGTGTGTGCCATGCCTTTGCACATAAAATGGAAAACTCTTTTGAGCTATATGATTTTATCTTCTCGAGCCTGCAGAAAGAAAAGTAAGCCGCGATCGAAGTTTCTGGAGATTCAAGTAGATGCAAGCGTCTGTTGCCAACGACCGTTTCATCGCCAGATCGAAGTCCTCGAACAAGAAAAGGACATAAAACATCAGACGACAGTTCCATTGCTGTAACGTTTAGCGACAACATCTCTGCAATTCGGTCGTCGATGATGCTCTTTAACGGAGAAACAACAATAATACTGGTTCTTGTAGACGACAAATCTTGTCTGCGAGCGCAAACATGGTAAAAATCATGCTTTTACCAAAGCCTGTCGCCGAGGCAAAACAGCCATCACATATCTCCCATGAAGCAAATTGTTTTTGGCTGTTTCTTGCTCATGTTTGAGAATTAACAATTTCGCGGTCTTCGCGAAGAATATTCAGGCAAGATAACGCTTTCGACAACGCTTTAATTCTTGACCATTTCCTTTTTAAGCACCAAAGAACTGCGTTGTAATCATATCAGTGTTGTTCCTTGGAGCTGTTACTTCGGAGATTATCGAAAATTTTGATTCACGTGTAAGCCTTCTGATTGAATAGCAATGGCCCGTACGTCAACCTACGAGACTAACAAAACAATGTCAGTAATCCGGGCAGGCGGTTTCTCAGTTGTCTCTCTCCCCTTCGCCGCTAGTTTCTGCAAGTTCGCCGCTTTCTTAGCGCGCTCAAACTGCTTATATATTAAGCCGCCAAGCTCCGCAGGCTAGTCCTGTGAGCCAAAAAAAACTTGGAGATTGCCTGGAATATTTTAGGAGTTGAGAAAGCTGCTCGGAAAATTAACAAAAAGTTTATGGGATGATCGACCGACCGACTGCTCATTTGCATAATCTGATCACTGCTATAACTCACGCTGACTGCGATACACACTACGCTATCACTCGTTAAAATGTCAATCATTCTCTGATTTTAGGGGAGTTTACACAAGAACGGGTCTTTTCTCTACGCACGCTTAAGGAGCGAGGTATCCAGGCAGGCGTAAGCTTGCTTCCTTCGCCTTTTATCCGATTGCACTTACCTGTGGATTTCAGTGCTAACTTTTTTTGCGGTAATCAATTGTACTAATTAACTATGGATTTTGTTGTGAGATACCAGTGGAGGCAAGGATCCCTTTAACGGGGTAGTTATACGTCATTCGAAGTCACAAAACACAGTATTTCTTGGAGAATATCCGAAGTCAACGTTCCTGCAATGGTTACTACCGTTTGTTTGGATGATTCTCCATATTTCCTTTCTGAAATCTGCAAAAGCACTCGCGTGTGAAATCCCGCTATTTACGCAGGCTAGCAAGGCAATTATTGAGCAGCTAAATATTGAGCGACCTCCCATCAATAATTTGATGGACCACCCTTTATACATATATATAATTATGTCCGACTTGACGATAACCAAACGTTTAAACTGGACATAGTTATTTTAGAGGAATTATAGATCGTTTTCACAGTCAGGCAATAAAGAAATTAATCGAAAACCATTCAGTGGATAAAATTAAAGTGCACATAACCCCCTAAATTTGTTTTCGATAAAACGAATCCACTTGGGCGAGAAATTTTTGAATTTGGTTGAATCCTCGATTTTTTATGCCCTTTCAAAGTCGCGCTTAAAGTGTTGCGCGACCGTGTTTTAGGGAGTCTGGGGGAGTGGCTGCTGATGACGTCTACCCAGGAACCAAACACAATAGCGCCTCAGTCAGCTCTCTGTATTTGCTTGAGAAAATGGAAAACAAAACTAATCGTTCCAATATATTTTGGGACTAAAACATCCAGGTTTTGTTTCAGAATCATTTCTTTTTCGTCACTGGAGTCAGAGATAAGTTTCGATTCGAAAGACTTCGATCGAGCACGTTCAACAACTGTGAACTCACTGCTTAGTGCTTTGAGAGCAATTTGCAATTTTCAAGCGACGACGGAGAAGACTTCTTTGCGGACGAGCTGCTTGTATATTGAGAATGGAAAGCTAGAGACGAAGTGGAGGAGCAGGCAAACGAAACGCAGGAAAGAAAAAGTCAAGGACTGCTTTGGATGGTAATTTCGTTAACTAAACACAAGATTCCCACGCGTGTTTATAGCCAATTTTAATTTTAGTAATTTCCTGTCAATTTCCAGTATAAATTCGGCAAAAAGAAGCACTTGAGACATTTCTTGCATATATTTTCAGAGCTACATTTTGTGGCATCCTCAAGATATCGATAAAACGCGGGCAGACGAGGATTCAACTCAGCTCGAGAAAGCTATTCAGAAGGCCGTTTAAAATCCGGGAAGAGCTATCACTGCTGTAAGCTGGTAAGTGCAGCATACAGATTTCTATCAAAGCCCAACCACAAAACATTCCGCCATCTTTGACGATATTGAGCAGTACAATTTGTATCATCATACATGACGTACCTAAAGAAAAAAGATAACCACTGCCTTTGTCAACGTCTAGGTTAAAGATGGCGGAATGATCGGCGGAGTGTTTTGTGATGGATTTTAAGGACGGTGCCTGCTAAATAAAAAGGTTTTTGCGCCAGGCTAGGACCACGCGGAAAAAGTAGATCTTTGCAAGGGCTACTGAAATCCCGGACGAAAAATTGGGGTAGCCATGCATATTTTCGAGATAATTAGCCTTAAATCTTATTATAATAAAGTTTCCATATAACGCGCGCTCTGATTGGCTGAAAGAGCGTGCTTTATCAGAGAACAGAGCACGGGTTGATGACAGCAAGTTGGCTTTCAAATTTTTGCTTCGGAATTTTGACAAATTTGCCCCAAATTAAACATCCCCAGTGATTCAGACAAACGCAGTGGAAACGAGCTATTTGGCTGTAGTAAATATGGCTCACAGAGACCATTGTTAGCAACAGTAGTGTTAAAACTGTACTAAAATAACAAG